CAGGTGTTTTATAGAAATTTTGTACATGTGATCCTTGTGTGCCTATTCCTATTCCTGAACATCTACATTTCGTAATTGATGGACATCGCTGTAATAAATTACGTGGCGCCAGATATAAATTAACGAACCTCCCCGTCTTCACTGTGCTAGTTGAGGTTCGGCGGTGTTTTCATTTTTTTTGGGTTGGCACGGAAGGGTTAAAGGAAAACCATCTTGGTCAAAAATTTTTTTTGTTGATTCCGGTACGTAACGGCGTTATAATATGTAACATTCTAACATGTTAAACTTTTCGTAATTTATCTTAAAATACGATATAAAAATACGATTCTTTATGTGATACTACAGAAAATTTTTGAATACAATATTCTTTAAGAGTTAGTTAAAATACTGTAATTTACAGGAAATTTTAAATTTAATTTCTTCGATGACACTAGATGGCGACGTTTGGAAATTTTATAAAAAAGTTTATTTTTAGCTTTATTCTAAAACGATAAGTAATAAACCGTCGAATCCTATATTTTTGAAATCAGAACAAAATAGCGAATTCAGTAAGCTAAAAATCAGTGATTATTCACTTAAAAAAACGAAATTTGTCATATCTCAAAATCTAAAAGTGAATTATTTTTTTTTACGTCATCAAATTCTCTGTAAAAAAGTGTCCATATAATGTCGGAGTTATAATACTCCACCTATAATACTAACCAAGGTAATTGCACTTGCTGGTTTTACGATATTTTCAATTCGGACATCGAATTTGAACCATCCTGTACAAGATGTGAAGAACGTATCATCATTATTAATTAATCTCTGTAACAGACAAGTGTATTTTCTTAGCTTTATTTGACTTGACCTGTAAAATGTATTATGTACTGTTTTCTATAAAAAGTGTCTTATTGTCGTCGTTCACTTCATAAAAGTCAAGTGGCAATTATTCACAATAGAATCAACAGTGCGGATATTCTCGAAGAGTCTTTATTTAGAAGTCTTTGTTAAGTGTATTTGATTACCTGTGCAGTAAACATTATAATTCTACAACAACCTCTTGAATGTCTTCGGAGCTTCTTTTTAGCTTCCTTTAGACCAGTGTTTCCCAAAGTCTTTTGGCCCACGGACCCCTTTTCTTAGTCAAACCTTGCCGACGGACCCCCAGGGTGAAAAACTACATTAAATACATAATAGAAAAATGAAGAATTTAACTTTGTTGTTTTAATGGTAAATGGTGACGTAAAAATAAAATATAAAGTAAACATTTTGTTGAAGATTTATTGATTATAACTTTTGTACTAAAAGACAATAAAATATTAATGGCTTGTATGAACCTGATGGGATGTTATGAGTTTATTTATGTCCGGCTCGATGTTTGTCAGTAGCAACCGCAAATCCCCCCGATTACTAATTTCCAGTCTGTTTCTTTTCTTTGTGACGAGGCTCATAACGGCACTGAATCCACGTTCTACCAAATACGAAGACGGAAAAGCAATCAACAGCTTCTGTACAATAACCTGTTACGGGGGATGGATTGCGCCGAAGAAGAAACAACAGTTGTTGAATAAAACGAAATAATTTATTTACAAAATATGTACAAAAAAAAAACCCTCAAAGGTTTTTTTAAGACGAAAGGGGTCGTCTTCGAATTGGCGGTTGAAGTGCTGGCTTGTTGTCGCTGTTGTTGTCGCTGTTATCGTTGTCGCTGTTGTTGTCGCTTCGGAGTTTGGTTGGAATTGACCGCTGATGGAAACCCGGCCGCCTTAAATAGGCGCCCTTGGGTAAAACCCTATCAACCGGGCGTTGTGGTTGGTTGGCGACCGTCCGATCCGTAGGTAGGGTTGACGACCAATGGCCAAGCAGATCGAACGGCGCTCAATTCGTACTTGGTGACACCCCCTCCCTCAAGGCGCTGGTTCGGGCTGCGCAGGTGGGTGTCGATGTGGTGGAGGAGCCAGACGTAGGTCGTTG